AAAGGCCTCTTTATTCCTTAAAAGTACTATATTACTTAAAAAAAAACACTGGGTACAAAGCGAGAAGTCCTGTCATCATCATCGGCCATGTCGACGTCAGAGTGCCCGCGCGTGAAGCTGTTTGCTATACTAGTTAAAGCAATAACTTTGATTTAGCTATAAAGTCTCTGTAGCCCGTTCGGTTGGCTTTATGAAATTGCGTAACCTCTGTCCGGCCGTCGCAGTTACCTTCTACCAAAGTATGTGCGCTTTGCGCAGAATTTAAGCTATAAAGACAAGCAATAGTTAACTCAATTGGTGTTCCTGGCCTCGCAGTAATTCGTTAGCCAACTTCCACTACGGGGCATAGGCACTCGGGGTCTTGGCCTGCAGGACCCGTCCACATTCACACAATGCCTAAGTCTTGCAAATGCGGCAACCTTTTCTGTAATAAATTACACCTCGAAATCCATGAACGGTTTGCCTCATTGGTACAGGTCGCTTGCAATCACGCCGTACACATCTTCATACATCAGTCCAGAATGACTACATGCTGCTTACATTCGTCATTCATATAGGCAATATTGCGAAATCATTACGATCTTTGATGGACCTTGAGGAAGAGCGTGCTGCATGCATAGCCAGAAACGAAGCTAAGTTAGCAGAGCTTGGTCTTTTGCATTCACCTCCCAAGTCCAACAAAATTACAAGCACTGGATTGAAATCCCGCCGACTTCGTAGAAGGATCGACCAAGCAGTGCAGCCGGCGGTCGACCTTGTCCGCCCTACATCACGGCACAGTAGGAGAGAGGTCACAGCCATTACAGGAACTGTTACCACTGAAGAGTCCGAGGAAGACTGTGAATTGAAATCAGCACATGAGCGCATGGTAAAGCTGTGACCTTTTGCGCCGCCGATTATCCTGATGATTTTGCTTGCTTTACTTGTCAAGCATGATTCCCTCTTTCTTTGCTACCCATTCCTTTCGCATTATCGAAGGAGGCTATTCAGAACGTTCCTGAACCTAGTCAAGGTGACCTTCCTGGCCTTCAAGGCATTCCAGTGGAGGTTCGGGAAATGGCATCAAAAATAGGCTTCGAAATCGGCAGTAGGCCGTTCCAGCTGTTCTACACAGCATAGAAAAAGGGGATCCTCAGAGTCGA